AAGAAGGACAATACAGTTGGAAGCCCCCATGGAAGTTTCAGGGAAATCTTTAAGCTGTATCTAATACCCAACTTAAAGATTTCCCTCCGTGGAAAGTAAAATCCAGCAAGACTGTTAATTAGAGAAGGGGAGGCGTTATCGTGAGGATAAGAAGACAAATCAGAGTTCAAAATGAGCTCAGAAAAGCAGCATGCAGAGCAACGTGCATAGTATGATTCTATCTTATAAATAAAAACCAGTGCTGGAACTTGTATTTTTTTAATATATATTAATTTTTTTTCTAGAATGATACACAAGAAACTGTTAATAATGGCACTGAGTTGGGGATGTGGACTGAGTTGGAGTGTTGAGGAGGAAGAAGACTTCTTTTTATAACTTTATTATCACTTTCTGGAGTGGTTGAAGTTTTATCAGATATCCTTAGTACATACATTTAGGAAATAGACATGAATATGTATATATTATATTTTTAAGGGAATGGAAGGGCAGGAGATGCTGACATCACTAGCTCCAGGTTTCAGTCATCCCATACCTCTGTGTCTTGTGCTCTAGATCTGGAATAACCCATTCATCAGCTGGGACCCAGAAGAATGTGGTCACATCAATAAACTCACCGTGACAACCGAGAACCTGTGGCTCCCAGACATCTTCATTGTGGAATCGTGGGTATCAGGGCTGGGAAGCTGGAGGGAAAACCCTCCTGCAAGGAGAAGACCAGGGTAGGGCAGGGCAAACCCATTCTGTGGGGCCACTAAGAATGGATTTCAGAGAGGAGCACAGTCACAGCTTGCTAATTCCTCCCCTAGAGATTGGAAAGTGGTGGGCACAAAAGATGGCAGAGTGACCATAACAAGCAGCATTGGGAAGCCCTACCTTAACAGAGAAACTTAAACTGGTGTGTAACCCAGAGCACTTTCCTCCCTCCCCTCCTGCTCCCTAGCATGGATGTGGATCACACCATGGAAGGCCTCTCTGCATATGTGACTAGTGACGGCCACATTGTATACAGCAAACCAATGCGCGTGACCAGCATCTGTAGACTGGACATCTTCTACTTCCCCTTTGACCAGCAGAACTGCACGTTCACCTTTAGCTCTTTCCTCTACACAGGTGAATGGCAGTAGAGGTTCTGGTTTGGGGTAAAATGAGATCAATCAGCAACAAAAAAGTACAAACAAGCAAAGTCATATTAACGCATAAAAAGGGACAGTTGAGTATTTGCTGGCTGGATAGGATGTGGATGGTGGGAAGGGGAACTTAGGCTGGGACAAGACTTCGTGAGAAAGCCCAGAATCAAAAAACGGGCCACTGCCAAAACCGGTTTGGCTCAGTGGATAGAGCGTCGGCCTGCAGACTGAAAGGTCCCAGATTCGATTCCGGTCAAGGGCATGTATCTTGGTTGCGGGCACATCCCAGTAGGGGGTGTGCAAAAGGCAGTTGATTGATGATTCTCTCTCATCGATGTTTCTAACTCTCTATCCCTCTCTCTTTTTCTCTGTAAAAAATCAATAAAAATATATTAAAAAAAAAAAAAAAAAAAAAAAAAAAAAAAAACGGCCGAAGCCGGTTTGGCTCAGTGGTAGAGCATCGGTCTGCGGACTGAAAGGTCCCGGGTTCGATTCCGGTCAAGGGCATGTACCTGAGTTGCAGGCACATCCCCAGTAGGGGGTGTGCAAGAGGCAGCTGGTCGATGTTTCTCTCTCATCAACGTTTCTAGCTCTCTATCTCTCTCCCTTCCTCTCTGTAAAAAATCAATAAAATATATTTTTTTAAAAAAACAAAAAACAAAAACGGGCCATTGAGCAGCAAGGAAGTGATGCTATAGGGCAAGTCTGAAAGAGGTAGCTCAAACACTTTTCTAATTCATCTTGGAGCCCTGCCCAAGCTGGGACTGAAGCTATGTTGAATAAATGTTTTTTGTCTCCCTTGCAGTGGAAAACCTGTTGCTGGGCATGGAGAAGGAAGTGTGGGAGATAGTGGATACCTCGCGTGACTTTGTCAGCACACACGGGCAGTGGGAGCTCCTGGGCATCAACAAGGCCAACCCAAAGCTGTCTATGGGCTCTAGTATCTATGACCAGATCATGTTCTATGTAAGCCCAGAGATGTAGGAAGGGATCTTCATCCCCCGGACCTCCATCACGGGATCTCTTGCTTCTTGCCCCAAGACCAGAAAGGCCCTGGGCACCATCACCTTCATTCTTCCTCTCTCCTGAGTTCCCCAAAGCAGTCCCTTTTTCTTAACCTGTCAGCTCTGGCCTTGGTTTTCTTTGGTGGACATGTGGGGAGGGGAGGGTCTTGTCAGTCATATGTAAGCTGCTCCTCGTCATTCAGCCCCAGAAGTAGCCCTTGTCGTGAGGAGGACACCAATAAAAGAAGGGGCTGGAGCCATCCTTAGGTCTCCTAGCTTCACCCGGCTCTCTCCTCCCCACCAGGTGGCCATCAGGCGCAAATCCAGACGCTATGTCATCAACCTCCTGATGCCCAGTAGCTTTCTGATGGTCATCGATGCCCTCAGCTTCTTCCTGCCTGCGGAAAGCGAGAGCCGTGCCCCGTTCAAGATAACCCTTCTGCTGGGCTACAACGTCTTCCTGCTCATGATGAATAAACTCCTCCCTGCCAGTGGCACCCCCCTCATCAGTATGCACCCCTCACCCAACTACTGGGTAATGAGAAGAAGGGAAAAAAGGAGGCAGGGTAGGCAGGTGACCTGGTCAGACCTGCTGAGCAGATAAGGCAAAAAGGAGAAAGAAAGCATCTTAGAAAGGGCTGTCTGTGTGAGACAGAGAAAAGGAGGGAGGGAGAGGTCCTTCTGGAGCTGCCTCACTCTGGCGCGCTCTCACCCCCACCCTAGGTATCTACTTTGCTCTGTGCCTGTCTCTGATGGTGGTCAGCCTGCTGGAGACCATTTTCATCACCTACCTGCTGCACCTGGCCACCACCCAGCCCCCACAAATGCCCGGGTGGCTCCACTCTCTGCTCCTCTACTGCACCAGCCCAAAGATACTCTGCCCCGCTGCACTCTGGAGGGAGAATGTGGGCCCAGGACTCACCCCAAGCCACCTGCCTGGTAAGAGAAGCCACACTGCCCACACTTACTTCTCTAATCACATTTCCATCCACTTCATGGCTAAGTCTCTGTGCTCTCCGCAGGCCTGACAGAGCCCAGGGAGTTGGCAGGGAAGAATCTGGAGCCCAGAGAGGAAGACCTAAATGGGGGCTCAGGAATGACAAAGGCCCAGCTAACTGACCTGTGGGTACAGTTCAGCCACATGATGGACACCTTCCTCTTTCGCCTCTACCTGCTCCTCTTGGCCTCCACAATCATCACAGTCATCGTCCTCTGGAGTTCCTAGGAGCTGAAATCTGATGTACCAGAGAAACTTCAGCCTCAATGACCACCGCAGATCCTGCTCTTCTGCACACACTGTCCCTGATCCAGCCCTCCCTGGTCTTAAATAGAATCACTGCTACTTTCTCATAAACAAAAACACCACCACCACCTCTCAGCCAGTTTGGCTCAGCGGATAGAGCATCAGCCTTGTGACTGAAGGGTCCCAGGTTTGATTCCGGTCATAGGCACATGCTCCAGGTTGTGGGCTTGATCCCTAGTGGGGAGCATGCAGGAGGCAGCCAACCGATGATTCTCTCTCATCATTGATGTTTCTATCTTTCTCTTCCTCTCCCTTCCTTTCTGAAATAAAAAATATATTAAATTTTTTAAAAAGTAAAGAAATAGCATGGAATGGAAAATGGTGCAGACACTTTAGAAAACAGTTTGGCAGCTCCTCAGGTGTTACTATATAACCTAGCAATGCCATTCCTACATACAATTCCCAAAGAAATAAAGATATATGCTCACATAAAAATTTGTACTCAAACGTTCATAGCAGCATTATTCATAATAGTGGGGGAGAAAATGGAAACAAACCAAATATCTATTAACTGATGAATGGAAATAAAATGTGATTATCCATACAATGATATATTATTTGGCCGTTAAAAGAAATGAAGCATTGACACATGCTGCAACATGGATGAACCTTGAAAGCAAGAATAAAATAAAATAAAATAAAATAAAATAAAATAAAATAAAATAAAATAAAATAAAATAAAATATCTGGTCACAAAAGTCTACATATTATATAATCCCACTTACACAAAATGTTCAGAATATGCTAATGTATAGGAACAAAAAGTAGATTAGTGGCGGGTGCGGGAGTGGAGGGAAAAGCAAGCCAGAAGGTTCTGCGGCCACTTCTAGTAGTTTCTAGGCGCTGCCTGGGCGCTCTGCCAGGCAGTACTGAGGTGGTTGCTGGGGTTGCTCGGGACCTGGTGATGTGGTGATTAGAAAGTGGATGGCCAAGTGGGGTGAGGGTGACCCACGCTGGACATGGAGGAGCGGGCAGATGCCACCACCAACAGCTGGCACTGGGCAGAGAGGGATGCTTCAAACGGGTCCACAGATAAGCTGAAAGCACTGTTCCTGGCAGTGCGGGTGCAAACTAAGGAGGGCAAGTGTGAGGTGACAGAAGTGAACAAACTTGATGGAGAAATGTCCATTCACAATCGCAAAGGCAAACTTATCTTCTTTTATGAGTCGAGTATCACGCTAAACTGGACAGGTACCTCTAGGTCTGGAGTGCAGTACAAGGGACATGTGGAGACCCCCAATTTGTCTGATGAAAACAGCATGGATGACGTAGGCATTAGACGAGCCTGACACAGATCTTGTGGCCTTAACGAAAGAAGGGGTGGAGCCGAGACCGGTTTGGCTCAATGGATAGAGCGTCGGCTTGGGGACTGAAGGGTCCCAGGTTCGATTCCGGTCAAGGGCATGTGCCTTGGTTGCGGGCATATCCCCGGTAGGGGGTGTGCAAGAGGCAGCTGATCGATGACTCTCTCTCATCGATGTTTCTAACTCTCTATCTCTCTCCCTTCCTCTCTGAACGAAGTCAATAAAATATATTTTAAAAAAAAAAGAGAGAGAAAGAAAGAAGGGGTGGAACTTCTCAGAGAAGCATGGGCATTTACGTCAGCACCCTCAAAACGGAGCTCACGCAGGGCATGATCTTGCCCGCGCTGAATGGAGAGTCAGTAGCCCCCACTGGTCAGCCAGTACCCAGAACTAAGGAGTACAAGGCTAAATCTGCTCCTTCCAAAACCCAGACCAGACGAAACCGGTTTGGCTCAGTGGATAGAGCGTCAGCCTGCGGACTGAAAGGTCCCGGGTTCGATTCCGGTCAAGGGCATGTACCTTGGTTGCAGGCACATCCCCAGTAGGGGTGTGCAGGAGGCAGCTGGTCAATGTTCTTCTCTCATCGACATTTCTAGCTCTCTATCCCTCCCCCTTCCTCTCTGTGGAAAATCAATAAAAATAAAAAATAATTAAAAAATAAAATAAAAAAACCCAGACCAGACCTGTTGGTGTCAGAATCCCCACTTGTAAGATCTCCCTTAGAGACACCTTCCTGACATCACCAGGAGAGTTCTCCACAGCACTTACTGCCCGAGAGCTGGTTCGGGCCTTGACCCACGCTCCTGCAACGCTAGAAGCAGACAAAGGTGTGAAGTTTCACCTGGAAGAGGGCAATGTCACTGGGGAATTCACTGATCTGGTCTCTGAGAAGCATACTGCGATGACGTGGAGGTTCAAATCTTGTCCTGGAGGGCACTTTGCCACCATCACCTTGACCTTCAGTGATAAGAATGGAGAGACTGAACTGTGCGTGGAAGGCTGAGGCAACCCTGCTCCTGAGGAGGAGAGGCCAGGCAGGGCTGGCAGCGCTTCCACTTCGAGGGCATCCAACAGACCTTGGGCTCTGGTGAAGGCTTATTTCAGAGCCAGCAGGGGGACTCCAGCCTGCCCCACGCTTCAGCCCAGCCCTCTCCTGACTGAGGCTTGACTCACAAGATTGCACCATTCCAACCACTAACGTGGGGCCGCGGCCCTTTCCCTTACGTATACCTTGGGTTTGTGCATGTTTTCTGCTGGGTGGGATCAGAGGGCAATTTCTCTTTTATGTGTACATATGCTAAGTAAATGTAATTTAAAAAAAATAGATTAGTGATTGCGTGGGACTTGGTGGAGAAAGGGACAGGTGAGTGAGGAAGACTGCTAATGGGTACAAGATTTGGTGTGTGTGTGGGGGGGATGATGATAAAAATGTTCTAAAATTAGACTGTGGTGATGTTTGCATAACTCTGTATTAACATGCTAAAAACCATAGACGTGTGTGTTTTAAACAGATGAATTATATTTAAATTATATCTCAATAAAGCTGTTAACAAAAAATAACTCACCCCACCACAAGATTCTCTCTGCCCACCACTTCCCTCCTGCTTATTTTCTCGTGCCCCTGCTCCCCACTGCCATCTCCCCCACTCAGACTCCTGGGCCCATTCATTCAGCTTTCACCAGTGTTTGCCCCTGTCGTCCTCCTCCACCACCGAGGACCCACAAGATGCTCACAGACCTCAGCCCCCCACTCACCTGTCAGGTGTTCATGCTTCCTTGATGTCAGCATCACCACAGCTTCAGCTCACACACAGCTGCCACCAACTCTAACGATTCGATTCAAAGTTCTCCCAGTCAGACTAGCTCAGGGCTCCTTAGTAGAATTTGGAGATTCAGATATTATACCTAAGACAGCAGTTCCCAGAGTCTTGAACTCTTTATTTTGCATGAGGATGGAGGAGAGGCTGGGAGAGTGCAATGAGGAACAACAGTCGCTCTTCGCTTTCTGGGCTGGGGCAGCTGTTAACCCCTATTGGTCAGCTGGCAGGTGGCGCTCCTGTACGTGCAGCACACTATCAGGCTTTAAATGAGAGCTTCTGCTTGTGTGGACAGTCCAGTCATCTGGCCCCCAGAACAGCAACATGGAATAAGTAAATGAGCGAAGCATTCATTCAGTCACTGATTTATCCAGTCTTTTCTAAGTGCTTACTTATACTTAGACATTTTCTTTTGTAAGTGCTGGGGAAATGTCAACGCATAAGACAGATAGGAGGAGGCTGGCTTTCTATAGTAACAAACTATAGAAAGATGATTTCACGTACTTTAATTGTTCTGAAGACAATAAAAAAGGGTAATAGAACAGAAAATGACACATAGATTAACAGCATGTTCCAGGAAAACCTCTCCGAGAAAGTGACCTTTGCGTCAGCCCAGAAATGAATGACAAAAAATAAAAATGAGTGAGACAAGGATGAGATATGCCATACTGGTGTGTCATTAAGGGAGGTGGGGGTGAAGCATAACAGGCACTAAACTTAGAGAAGCGATCTGGGTAGCCAGGTCTTTGGAGGGAGAGTCCACGTTGGTTCTTTTGTTCCTGTTGTTTAATGTTTAAGAATTGTGAGGGTAAGCTTTTATAATCCACTCAAAGCATTTATTTGTTTTTTTAAATATATTTTATTGATTTTCTACAGAGAGGAAGGGAGAGGGATAGAGAGCTAGAAACATCGATGAGAGAGAAACATCGACCAGCTGCCTCCTGCACACTCCTACTGGGGATGTGCCCGCAACCAAGGTACGGCATATTCCCTTGAATGGAATCAAACCTGGGACCCTTCAGTCCACAGACCAACACTCTATCCACTGAGCCAAACCAGTTTCAGCTACTCAAAGCACTTAAATCAGTATCTTTCAAACAGTTTTGATCACAGAATCTATTTTACTAATCCATGCATACTGCCTCACTCAAAAAAGAACTGGTGATAATAAAGAATTGATAAAGAACAAAAAGAAAGTTGCAACAAACATTGCTAGAATTACATATAGATTCGCTTACTAGATACTATGTAAGAGAATATGTATTTATAGATGTGTTTTTAAATTATAAAACAATGCCCAAAAACTTAAAATAAGTAATATCGGGTCTAGTAATAATTAATGTCGTTTTTTAACATTCATTTAAAATCTTGCTTGGCGTTGACTTGTATTGACATAACCTTCAAACACGTGGTATCTACAGAACGTGTGAAGTGCAATTAACAAGTTTTGCTTGAAAAACTTTGTGTTTGGTTTGGTTTTTGTTGCAAAAAGATGGCGGATGAAGAGCATATTCAGCACTGCATGCTTTACGAGTTCCAATTAGGAAGAAAAGCAAGTGAGGCTGTAAAAAACATCTGTAGTGCTCTTGGTCAAGATGCAGTTAGCGCCAGAAAATGCCAGCATTGGTTTGAGAAATTTTTCGTTAGATGACAAGAGTGGTCGAGGCCGTGTGTCCAATTTTGATCAAGAAGCTCTTCAAGCTCTTTTGGTGCAAAATCCTCAAATTACCCAACAAGAGCTTGGACAACTTTAAATTGTTCACAAAAATCAATTTCCAATCAATTGCGTGCACTTGGCAAAGTCCAAAAGTTTGGAAAATGGGTTCCTCATGAGTTGACCGACAACAACCGTAATCAAAGAGTCACAATTTGCAGTTCGCTCCTCTCTCGTCAAAACCGTTTGCCGTTTTTAGAGCAAATTGTTACCGGAGATGAAGAATGGGTGCTGTATGTTAATTTGAAAAGGCGGCCTCAATGGTTGGACAAAAATGAGGCTCTGCAGTCCACGCCAAAACCTGACTTGCATGCGAAAAAAGTGATGTTGTGTGTTTGGTGGAATTTTAAAGGAATTCTTCATTATGAACTTTTACCATCTAACCAAACCATTACAATTGCAGTGTATAGTGCCCAATTGGAAAGGTTAGCCCAAGCTTTAAGAGAAAAAGAACCCGCGCTGATTAATCGGAAGGGCGTAATTCTTCACCATGATAACGCACGACCGCATACTGCAAGAATCACTGCTGAAAAACTGCGCCAGTTGGAATGGGAAGTTCTCCCTCAACCTGCATATTCTCCTGATATTGCCCCTTCCGATTACCATTTGTTTCGTTCTTTGCAAAACTTTCTTCTTGGAAAAAAAATTTAATAATGAAGAATGCCTCAAAAATGCATTGACCGAATTTTTTGCATCAAAATCACAAGAATTTTACAACAGAGGGATTAAAATGCTTCCTGAGCGTTGGGCACAAGTAGTAGAAAACAACGGCAACTATATTGTTGATTAAATTTTGTTGTATTGTTTAAATAAATTCGATTTAAAAAAGTATTAGAAAACGACATTAATTATTACTAGACCTAATATTTTTATTACAAGTTACTTAACTAGCTTGTACTCTCAATGTAATGTCACTGCACAAGCAGGTTTTGAGGGAATTTATACACAAGAAATAGAGACCTAAGCACAAAGCAAAACTACTTTGATGAAAGTATAGATCAGGACACCCTAAAGAAGGAATCAAATAATCCATGTGATAATTGAATAGATGATGGATATTGGAACATAGCTAACAGTTTATTACTAAAAAGCATGAATAGCACCTCGGGTCAATGCTGTTGATGCACTAATAACAAAATCCCTGGAAACTGAAATAATTCCAACAGCCCCCATGTCTCCTGCAGGAAATCGTTTTGCAACTTTCCCAGAGGCTGCAGGATCTTAGTAGAATGTCAGATTTGAATCTTGAGGACACTTTGATAATGAGAAAATTTTAGTTTACCAAGGCCACATTTTACCAATCCTGAATTAGCATGTTCTTAGTAATAAGTAAAGCTGAAAAGAAGTCCTGAAGAAACGGATTGGATTTGTCAGCCCTTCAGGGGGCCCTTATTGCTCTCTAGTGGGAGCCCTTACTCAGGCCTCTCAGTGACCCTAGGATTTGTGGAAACCCGCAGACTATGCATAGTGTACCTACCTTATCCATATAATTCCTGATTAAAATTTGGACACGTCAGATGTTTTTCTAATTTGTAAAATGATTTCTATAAAATAGCCTTATAAAAATCCTAAATAATAGCCCTAACCAGTTTGGTTCAGTGGATAGAGCGTCGACTGGGGACTCACGGGTCCCAGATTCAATTCTGATGAAGGGCACATGCCTGGCCGGTGGGCTCAGTCACAAGGAGGCAACCAATCAATGATTTCCTCTCATTATTGATGTTTTATTTCTATCTTCCTCTCCTTTTCTCTCTGAAATCAATTTAAAAATGTATTTTTAAAAACCCTAAATAACAAAAGCCTAATATGCTAAGTATCTGGTTGTCCAGTCATCTGTTCAAAGTATAATATGCTAATAATATGCTAAGGTGGCTCAACCACTCGCTTTAACATGCACTGACCACCAGGGGGCAGATGCTCCAACTGGTAGGTTAGCTTGTTGCTGGGTTCTGGCTGATCTGGACTGTGAGATGGGCCAGACATGCCTGGAGCCCTCCCACAACCTCTCCCCTGCTGGCCAACCTACCAGTCCCTCCCCGACCCCAATTGTGCATCAGTTCCAGTGGGGTCCCTCAGCTAGGCCTGTGCCCTCTTGCAATCCAGGACCCCTCAAGGGATTTCAGAGAGCTGGTTTCGGCCCTATCCCACAGACCAGGCCAAAGGATCCCATTAGTGGATGAATTCATGTACTGGTCCTCTAGTCTATAAATAAAATTACCTTCTAGACTTAGTGACATGTCTTTATTAAAAAAAACTAAATTACATGAAAAGAAATATGAAAGTAAAATAAAAAAATTTTTTAAATGATTAAAAAATATGAAAGTTGCAAAGAAAAGAAAGAACATGTATCAACTAACATGCACCTGTAACTTCCATCATTGACCTACATTGAAGCTAATGAGTTGATGAGCTATTATTCCATTTGTCCTTGTGGAACAAGAACCCTGCTTGTTTGAGAATTAATGAGCCTGCAGTAAAATAAATATGTGGTGGCTTTTACAGTTGTAATAAAGGTTGTTAGTTTAGGCTT